CGCCGTCGAGATCGCCGCCGGACTCCGCCGCACGCGCCGCCACGCGCCGCCGGTAGAAAGCAGTCGCTGGAGCTTGCAGACACGCGTGAGAGCGCGTGACTCTTCTGTTTTCCGACCGATCAACGCCGTTGACTTCGCCGTGACGTCACCTTTCCGGATTGGTCAAGTTTGTTCGATTCCGAGAAGATTTGATTTGCGGTCAACTGTTCGGGCCAGCCAGATCTACATAAATTTTAAGCAGTAAGTTTTCTTCATCAAACCTTTAGATCCGCTGCGCATAGGTTTATGTTGAATGTTTGTCTGTGATTTGTGCATATCGAGATCCTCATGGGTTCCAACACGAGGACGAGAGAGAAACACCTATACCCCTTTTGCACCCTCGAATACCCAAGGAAAATACACTTGAGAGACTTGGGATCTAACTTAGTGATATGAGGTCTTGTATCCCGAACAAAACAAGTGCACCCAAAAATTTTAGGTGGTATAGGAAAAATGGGTTTATCGAGGAAAAGAACTGAAAATAGAATTGAATTACCCAATACGACTGAGGGCATTCGATTAATTAAAAAACAAGCAGTAGACACAGCATCAACCCAAAAGGTTTTAGGAACATGCATGTGAAAGAGTAATGCCCGAGCAACCTCGAGGAGGTGTCGGATTTTACGTTCTGCAACCCCATTTTGAGCAGGTGTATCAACACACGACGTTTCATGCAAAATCCCATTTTCAAGCATATAAGACTGAAAAGGTGCAGACAAAAATTCTTTCGCATTATCACTTCAAAGTGTTTGAATGGTAGCATGACATTGGGTTTTAATTTCAACACTGAAGGACAAAAAATGTTGAAAAACTTCAGAACGACTTTTCATAAAGTATATCCAAGTGACACGAGAAAAATCATCAATAAAAGTAATAAAATATCTAAAACCGGATTTTGATGAAACAGAACAAGGACCCCAAACATCAAGATGAACCAACCTAAATGGGGTAGCAGCCCTCTTATTTATTCTAGGTGATAAAGAACTACGACAATGTTTAGCAAACTGATAGGACTCACAAAATAAGGATGACAACCTTGAAAACTGAGGATCCAATTTTTTTTAAACTGTGGAGGGAAGGATGGCCAAGACGACAATGCATATCTAGTGCGGAGGAGGAGGGGGTGCAAACAAGTGACTTAGACGTCGGTGTTTCAAAAATGTAGAGGCCATCAGATTCACGTCCTTCACCAAGGATCTGCTTCGTTGAAAGATCCTGCACAATAAAATGGTTCGGAAAGAATGAGACGCTATAGTACAATGATTTAGTAAGTTTGCTAACAGAGAGTAGGTTAAAAGCAAAGTTTGGTAAATTTAGGACGGATTGTAACGAGATAGAAGGAGTAAGACTGACTGAACCAGAACCAAGGACACGAGTAGTAGACCAGTCAGCGATAGTGACATGAGAAGAAGGTGTATGAGGGTCAAGGGTGGAAAAAAGATTTGGGTTACCTATCATATGATCTGATGCACCTGAGTCAATGACCCATCTAGTGCCTTTAGATATGAGGCATGTAGCGGAATTACCTGTGTCAGCAAAGACGGCAGCAGATGAAGAAGGCTTCTCTGTTGCAGTAAGTCGAGAATACTCCTCAGCAGAGATAGTGACCATGTCAGAAGATGAAACAACATGAGCAGAGGGGCCCTTCTGATTCTTCTTCTCCAACAGAGGACATGAATACTTTGTGTGCCCAAGTTCATGACAATAATAACATTCCACTTGGTCGGATTTGGGATTGCGAGAGCCACGATTTGACCCTCCCCGAGTACCACCCCGAGAACCCCCTCGAGATCCTCGTCGAGATCCGCCACGAGAAACACATTGGGAGGCTCCACGACTGACCATGGCACTATGTTGAGAGATATGAGTGCCGATAGTTGGAGACTGCATTTCCTCAGTCCGAAGGAATCGGGAAAATGTCTCTTGGAGAGAAGGAATGGCCGATTCGGAGAGAAGCTGATTCTTCAAAGCATCAAATTCTGGACGTAACCCAGTGAGGAAGCTCATAACAGCAATTTGTTCCCGTTGTTTCTGCATTGCTTTGACATCATTGCTTAACAAGATGAGAGAGTTTAGTTCCTCATAAACCTTGTTAAACTCCATGACATATGTCGTAGCGTTTTTATCATGTTGCTCTCCTCTATGAAACGATTTGCAAACTGAATAGACACGAGAGATATTGGTACGTCCAGAGTATAAGAATGTTAGATAATCCATCAATTCTTTGACAAATTCACAATGATTGACCAAAGAAAGTATATCAGGCTCAATGGAATTTCGAATTTGAAAGAGCAATTTTGCATCATCACGTAACCACGCCCGATTAGTATCATCTTTGACATCGCCTGTGGGAGGACACGAATCCAACTGATCGTCCTTGTCAATACTATGGAGGTGGACAATAATAGTTTTACTCCATCCGAGGAAATTAGACCCATTTAATTTAACATCGGTGATTTTGTTCATAATAGGAACGATTTCAGACACAATTTTATTCGCAGCCATAAGAACCCGAATGAACCGAATTTAACAGCAGGGCTGAAATTAAGAAAAAATCAACCTGTCACCAAGGGGTCACTGAAACCCAAAACTGAGAACACCAACAGGTAGCCTGAAGAGTTCCGAGCAGACGGACATTCGCCAGAAAAATTTCCGGCCAGACACGCGCCCTCACGCGCCGGCGCGTGAGACAAGCTGCAGGTGGTTGTGGCGGCGCGTGTTCCTCACACGCGCAGATTCTGCCAGCAACCTTTCACCGGATGGCCGGTCCGGCGACGACGAGTCTGAAGGTACAGGAGGTGAGACTCGAAACTCACCCGAAGTGTGTCTACTCTAATCACAAAAGAATTTTACTAAAAGTTTCAAAAAACCCTAACTTTATTTTGGTTTGGCTCTGATGCCATGTAATGCTATTAAGCTTGAATGTTCTATTAAACGATGAAGATTACAAGATATATATACAAGCCAAAAGAGATGAAAGAAAGGAAACAAATCAAATGACCTAATCTACGGGATTTACCAAATCACCTAATTGATACATCTAATCTATACCATGTTTACATTAACACCAAGTATATTTCTCTCCCTTATAAATAAGTGATTGAAACCTTAGATCATTTTTACGCTGCAAGCCGTCAGATTTCTTCATCTCTTGACCAAACCCATAGCTCTCGTTTATCTCGTTTCATTCATCGGAACCTCTAAGCAGCAACCCCTTTCCATTGTCGTGAGTACCAGCAGAGCCAAAGAGACGAGCACAACAACCATTGTCGTGACCCCGTCAGCATGCGAGAGAACCAAGAACATAGGTCGACAAATATTGGACATGAGGATGGGCGCCACACAGGATCTCCATATAGCAATCAACGAATTGAAAATCCAACTCGTTCCCGAACAAAAGTGCGCATATCGATTTTCCTCGGACCAAAATGTGGTCATTGCTCCACACACTTTTGCTACAAAAATTTGTACTTTTAATTAGTATAATATAACAAAAATTAAAGTAATTAAAGTAATTTCGGTTACCTCAAGTCATCGCTTGCCAGGAAATCCCGGATGGCTACAGCCTCCTCTTTCTGGACATCCTAATGTCCACAGAAATCATCTCTGCCCCTTTATTCATTCAGGGAAGAATCATGATCGACGTCATCCTTGTCAGCCTCCTACATTATAAAATAATTGGTTAGTTATATTAAAACAACACGAACAATGACATAAATTACAAAATAAAATTGCTAGTTTAATTACCTCATCATCACTCAAGCTCACCAACTGCAATTTTTTTCTTTCTTCTGCCTCTTTGGACCGGATGACGGAGGGGTTATAAAATTAGTCGGCTTCTTCTTTTTCTTCCTGCGAATGCTCTCCCGCACCCTCTTCACCATTGAAGAGGGTTGTGCTTTCTCCGGTTATCCGCTCAAGCTCTGAGCATCAGGTGTGGATCATCTGACAGTACTTTTGAATCCACCCCTCCCATCAAACCAGCAGATTTCTCCCTCAAAGCAGCAGAATCAACTACCAGGTTTACGAGTCGGTCCAAATCTTCAAACTCATTCACAACAACTTTACTTTCAACCACCATTTGAGCCCATCTTCCCTTACTTTTTTTCCTCGTCCTCCTTTTCCTCTTCCTCCTCCTCCTCCTCCTCCTCCTCCTCTTCCCCCTCTTTTTCCCCCTCCTTTCCCCCCTTCCCCTAATCTTTTCCCCCTCTTTTTCTTTCTCTTCTTCCTCTTTCTCTTCATCTTTTTCCACAGACTCACAAAAACCATCAAAATCATTAGCAACCTCATCTTTCCCACTTCTTTCCTCTTTTTTTCTTTTTCTTCGTTCTTTCTTTCCAACAGTTCAATTTTTTTTCTAAGTTCGTCGTTCTCAAGACAAACTATGACAAACAACTAGTTCTTAGAAGTTCCTTGTACATGAAAGAAAAGAAAATTAAAAGAAATCATAAATCAAAGATACTTGTACCTACGAAAATATATTAATGCTAAAACATAAATTCTCGACAAAAATTAAAGAAAAACATGGGTTTCCACAAACGTACGCTCCTCCAAAACAAGCCATTCTGAATACACCTGGAAAGCAAATCATAGTGATTTAAATACAATATCAATTAACCAAAAAATAAAAAGAAGAAAAAGAAAACACATAAAACTATAGAATTATATAAATTACCGTATGCCTCATTACTTTCTTCATGGATTGTAAAGACCCTTCGAATGTATACGGCATCGTGCTCCCCGTCCATCGAATTAGATGGGGAATCACCTCGAGCGTCGAGCGCTTGCCCAAAGAAGGGACATGCTCGTAGAACCAAGCCTACGCAACACATCATTTCAAAATTACACAATTTCACAATTTAATATTATTGTATGATTAAGATACTGAAACAAAGATATACATACCATCAATCCCAATGCACATCCATCGAAGTATGATCGATCGCTCGACTGGGAATGGCGAACTAGCTTGCCAACCAAGTATTTGTGAGTAGCATCTTGTAATATCCCGACTATTTATCAGTATAAATTATGTTTTTAGTTTCGATATTATTTTTTCGGACTTAATTATTTTCAGTTATTTCAGTCGAAATTACCGGAAATTATTTTCAACGTACCGTTTACGTTCGAAATAATTTTGGTAATTAAGTATTAGGCTTAATTAATTGATTAAGCCTTAATTTGTGATTAATGGTAATTAATCACCATTGGCATTGCTAATTGCCGTGCACTATATACTCCTTTAGTCGTGCGGTTCTAATGCTTAGTAGTGGAGAATATTTGCTATTCCAAGTCCTTAAATGCCGTGCTCCATGTGGTATTGTAGTCAAGATTCCTCCTTTGTCCTATGTGCCGTGTGGTTAAGTGTGTATGTTAGAGATTTTGGTCCAAGATGCCTTCCTCATTGTCCTCTAGTGCCGTGTAAGTGTGATGTATATTAGTGCATTTTGTTCAAATTTCCTTCTTTGTTTTCCTAAATGCCGTGCATGTAGTGGGTATTTGTTCAAGCATTTCTTCTTCATTTTTGGCATCATCTAGCATGTTGTGCCATGTGTCTTAAGCTTTAAGTTGCATGGGTGCTAAGTGTCCTTAGCCATTGACCATGTGATTCTCCCTCACTTGTCTTTCCTTCGGCCATCTTATAAGAGTGGACTTGAAGAAATTTCCACCTTCTTGCACGCCCAAGTTCATAATGCCGAAAGATTAGAGAGCATATTGTGTGAGTTGGAGTATTGTTCGTAAGCTACCGCCGAGAGCCGCTCGCACCATAAGCCATCGCA